CAGTGGGTATACAGTGGGTATACACGCATTCAGTGGGTATACAGTGGGTATTCAGTGGGTATACATGCATTCAGAAGTATACAGCAAAGCTGAGGCTGTAACTCAATAGCCGTCTCACATGTACATGGCCCTGAGTTCAGTTCCAGTCACATAAACTGGGCACGGTGATGTACACCTGTAGTTCCAGCACTCGGGACTGCAGATTCAGGGTTGAACTCAGCCATAGAGGGGGTTTCAGGCCAGCCTGCGGTACATGAAATCCACTGTCTGAGGAGCTAGCCCAGGGTTCCACGCATGCTGGCAAGCAGAGTCAGCCCGAGTCCTCTGAAGCACATTTTGGCATACTTGAGATCATAGACTAACGCAGTTTTCACTCCCACCCTGTGGAGTTTCTTCTGCATTTCCCCGTGCTAGTAAAAATCCTCCACAAACATTTACAACAGCCACATTCATTTCACTCCAGATGTGCAAAATCATCTCAACTGGTCTGTCAACAGTGGGCATTTAGGGCTACTCAAGCTACTGTGGGTTATTCTGTTGTTAGCACCAGTCCATGAGGAGCTTCGCTGCAGTTTCCTGGGGCCGTGTCACCACAGGTGAAGTGACTACTCTTGAAAGGCTCTAGCTGCATACAAAATACTTTTCGCTGAAGCTTCTCTCCTCTCTCTCTCTCTCTCTCTCTCTCTCTCTCTCACACACTTCTGCCAGTGACAAGCTGGAGACAGCTGGTCTTTTCCAATCCAGAAGCCAAATATTATCTTTGGAAGAAAAAAAAAATCCCCTCCCTTTCTTTTTCTAATTCTATAGTCACCAAATAGCATTTCATTGTCCTTTTATCTGCTTCCTCCAGCGAATATACTTCACAGGACCTAAAAAGACATGTGCAGAGCATGGACGGAAGCTTCCTTTTGTCTGCCAACAATCAACAAATATTAATTATGCAAATCATTTTACTCTGAATGTACTACTCTCTGTCGTTCAGGGACAGGTTTGGAAGATTCCTTCTCCCATTTTAGCCTTTGTGAAGGGGGAGGGGGTTCCCACACGGCTGACAGTCCTGCTGCAGCCAAGCTACTCATCCTGAACACCAGCACTCCCGTCCAACAGCTCTTCTGTCCATCCTAACTCGTTTATGGAAACATGAGCCTACGTTTTATTAACGATCCGATACAATTCAAAGTGCTCATGAACATTCTCGGCTCCGAACGTGGTAGTTTTTGAGGGTAGAGCTTCCTAATTTCAACAGTAGCTTCCCTGGATCATGTAAAGTGCAAAGCTGAAGAGGACCTCGACAGGCAAACTTTGGGGGAAGAGTGCCCAGGTCACACAGGAAGACGGTGCATAGCCAGAAGAGAAAGGGCTCCCAGGCTGTAGACCAGCTCCCCAGCACCTCCAGCTGAAAAGCTTCATTAGCTAGAGAAGGGGTGCAAATGTGTTATAGTTCTGTTAGCAGACCGCTTGCCTCGCCTGCACAAAGCACCATGGAGACTGGGCACAGAGGCACACAACTACGATTTCAGCACTAGGCAGGAGACAGACGGGAGCATCATCCTTAGCGATGTACCGAGCCAGAGGCCAGCCTGGACTACATAAAACTGTCTCAAAACAAATGAAACAAACAAACAAACAAACAACAACAACAAAAACGGGGATGGCGAGGAGCGGGGCGTAGGGCGAGGTTAGAGTTTAGGGTCCAGTCTGGGCCTGCCCTTTCCTTGAGACCTTCCCAAGAGAGAAGCTGGGGGGGGGGGGGCATCTGGGTTGCCTGGCAACCCAGGCTCCCGCTGCCGGATGTCTTTTCACCACCCCCAGCGCCCACGGCGCAGGATCCCGCGGTCACTGGCTGGCGGTCTGGTTTCTGGCCCCTCCCTTTTCTCGCTCCCCGCCCCACCCAGGCTCGGCGCCGGCCTGAACTGGCGCGAGTCTGGGAAGCTGTCTGGGCGCCCACTGCATCCCCAGCCTGTCTGAGACTCTCTAACCATCCACGCCCCCAACCCCAACCCCGCCGAACTAGCTCTTCGCTAAAACTCCCTATCTGGAGCGTTCCGCGTGGGAGACGGTACAGCGCGAAGCGGAAGCTCCGGGCTCAGGCCGGGCCTGCCGCCCCAGGCTTCCCCTGGGCTCCCAGAGCTCGCAGATGCCCGCCCGCCCGCCGCGCAGCCCAGATCCTGGCCCAGTTAGCCCAAAGCTGGGACGCTGTCGTTGTTAACGGCCTGCGTCCCTGCGTGCGTAAGAAACGAAACGAACCAGTGCTTCCGTGCAGATTCCTTAGTGGGGTCTACTACACAAAGGCCTCGTCGCTAAATTCTGCAGCAATAAAGCACACTTCAGTCATTTTACTAAAGAGGGGGAAAGTCCAAGAGCGGGCTGCCACCACTGCGACTTTCTCTACTTCTCGATGGGTCCGCAAGGGCTACACCTGACCCTGACGTCACCACTGTGAATGTCGGCAGCACACTCTTGCTTGGAGGAGCGTGGACGGCAATCGCTCCTGACAGCTGGGACAGGGAATCAGACCCTGGCCGGGCTTCCAACATTGCCGCCTACTGGCTAGGTAGGCGCCGAGTCAACCCCCCACCCCGCTGCCCCAGCGTCTCCACCCGAGGACTCCAAGTCTAGCATTGCACGTGGGCAAGGATGCGCGCCCCAAAGAACCTCCCAGGTTGGCATCCTGCTTCCCCGGCGGGGAGACCGTCATCCCGCCCTGCGCTAGCCCCGTAAGGTGACCCTCAGCAGCTGCTCGGGGCGTGTGTGCGCCCGCGCCCTGCGCCGCGCCCCCGCCAGCCTCCCCCCGCCCCTCCGAGCTGCGCATGCTCCGCCCCGCGGGCGAGTTTTTATAAAAGTCCGAGTCGGGCCAGAAACTTGAATTTGTTGCCTGGTGCAGCAGGTAGCAGCGACCGTCCGAGGCGTGCGGTGCTCCGGTAGCCACCACGGCTGGCCAGCGAGTGTTGCCATGGAAGGGGCCGGTGTAACTGTAAGTCCAGGCGCGTCTCACTTCGAATAAACGTGCACACGCGCGAGCCTAGAGCGCAGCTTCTCCGTGAGTGGCAGAGGCGGCCAGAACCCGGGGGTTGCCGGGTCCCGAGGAAGGGAGTGGAGGCGATTTTTGTGAGCGTGGCTACAGGAGGAGGAAGATGGGGTGTTTTTCTTAGCGAGTAGGGGGGCAGGCTCCGAGGGGGCTGCGCGCGTCTCCCCCGGAGCCCCGCGGCGCGCGCGGGCCGCCACGATGTCTGCAGACGTCCCGTTCTTGTGTGAGCGCACACGGGCGGAGCAGGCTTGCGCTCGGTCCCGGGACTCGGACCGTCGCCTGGTCCTCCTGAAAACAGGAGTTTCTCACGTTGCGGGAATTTAGAGGCTGTAGCCGGCACGCGTGGGCACTCCGTCCTGGGTTAGCCTCGTGGAGCAGTTCTTGAAGTGGGGAATGAGGTTCCGAAGTCCACGCTGCGGGCGGAGGAGCCCCTCCGGCGGGAAAGCCGCGCGGGCCCTCCGCGCCGCCCGCCGGGGTCCGAGCCGCGGCCGCTGCCCCGCGGGGCCAGCCAGCCTCCCGAGGTCGGGGCCGCCTCCGGGACGTTCCCGAGAAAGGGGCGTGGGCTCCTGCCGCCCGCCGCGGGCCGGGCGTGCGCGGAGAGGGCGTGTGGGGACCGCACCTGGCCGGAGCCGGTCGCCCCAGGGATGCACAGGTGCAGACCGAAGGCGGTTTGACCGAGCCCCGCTGCAGTGTGTAACCGTCGGTGGTTTCCTGGGCCTTTGAAACCCCCTCGCTCGGGGAGGGTTTTGTTGTGTTGGTTTTTTTTTTTTTTTTCTTTCTCTCTCTCTCTCTCTCTTTTCGTTTCCTCCGGCGGCGCGCAATTCAAAGGCGCTCGCGCCGGAGCCGCCCAATCTGCCACCCGCACCCGGAGGGACGGTCCTGGCGCGTGGCCAGGAGGAACCTGGAACCGCTGCCGGTCGGCTGTAGGCCTGGGTGCGGTGGGCGGCGTGGCCAGTCCCTACGTGGGTGACTTGGCCCTCAGGGTGCGCGCGGTCTGGGCCCCTCCTGCTGCCCACCTCGGACCCTAGTAGCTAGCTAGCTGAGTCCGCTGCAGGGTGGGAAGCGACCGGGAGAGCGAGGAAGTGAAACTTGGGGCGAAAACCACGGGGTGCAGACCCCGTGACTTTCCCCACCCAGGACAATGTGACTCTAACGTCCCAAATACACCCAGCCATAAACATGGGGTTAGCAGGAGAGACCTACCTTCCAGAAAATCTCCCGGATGGGGTGGAACAGGGGAGTGCTGTTTGCTGTTTCTAACGCTCCCTGACCCTAAGCATCATCTCTCCTCATTACGCGCGACTTGAAATATATATAATGGTTTGTATTAGACAGACGTGAGAAAAACAAGGTTTTGTGCCTGAAGAGCGTTAAGAATCTTTGGAGGACCCCCTCCATCATGCTCTGTTTTCCTTCCCTCCTTTGCTAATCTTCATACAAAAACTTAATCCCGTCTCCTTCAACACAGATTTAGCCCCACACCGCCTGAGAGTGACTTCTTTGTGTGAATGAAGTGGGTTTGGGGATTCTCTCTCTCTCTTTCTCTGAGTTTTGTTTTGCTTTCCCTCGTGGGCGGGGCCAGGGAGTCATCCAAGACTAGGCTATGAAGTCCTTAGAATCTCAACCTTCTTTTGTTCTAAACAGAGACTCCTAATTGGTTCTACTAAAGAAGAAACCTAACAAAGTGACTAGGGAAAGAGTACAAGATTCTGTATTCTCCCTGGATCATAGCCAGCTCATTGGAGTTTCCTAGAAAAGGTTGGGTTAAAACCTGAAATGAAATAGTAGTTTTTTCAGAACTTGGGAAAGGCGTGTCCACCTTGTCAGTGACCTGCATGTCTCTGTCTTTTGCAGATATACACTCCAGACAACTATTCCGAAGAGCTAGGGTCGGGAGACTATGACTCCAGCAAGGAGCCCTGCTTCCGGGAAGAAAATGTCCACTTCAATAGGATCTTTCTGCCCACCATCTACTTCATCATCTTCTTGACTGGCATAGTGGGCAATGGATTGGTGATCCTAGTCATGGGTTACCAGAAGAAGCTGAGAAGCATGACTGACAAGTACAGGCTGCACCTGTCGGTGGCTGACCTCCTCTTCGTCATCACGCTTCCCTTCTGGGCAGTTGATGCCATGGCCGACTGGTACTTTGGGAAATTCTTATGTAAGGCTATCCACGTCATCTACACTGTCAACCTCTACAGCAGTGTCCTCATCCTGGCCTTCATCAGCCTGGACCGGTACCTTGCCATTGTCCATGCCACCAACAGTCAGAGGCCGAGGAAGCTGCTGGCTGAAAAGGCAGTCTACGTGGGTGTCTGGATCCCTGCCCTTCTCCTGACCATCCCTGACTTCATCTTTGCGGATGTCAGCGAGGCAGAGGACAGGTACATCTGCGACCGCATCTACCCTGATAACCTGTGGTTGGTGGTATTTCAGTTCCAGCACATCATGGTAGGTCTTATCCTGCCGGGCATCGTCATCTTATCTTGTTACTGCATTATCATCTCCAAGCTGTCACACTCCAAGGGCCACCAGAAGCGCAAGGCCCTCAAGACCACAGTCATCCTCATCCTGGCTTTCTTCGCCTGCTGGCTGCCGTATTATGTCGGAATCAGCATTGACTCCTTCATCCTGTTGGAGGTCATCCAGCAAGGGTGCGACTTCGAGAACGTTGTGCACAAGTGGATCTCCATCACTGAGGCCCTGGCCTTCTTCCACTGTTGCCTGAACCCCATCCTCTATGCCTTCCTTGGAGCCAAATTCAAAACCTCTGCCCAGCACGCACTCAATTCCATGAGCAGAGGCTCCAGCCTCAAGATTCTTTCCAAAGGAAAGCGGGGTGGACACTCGTCCGTCTCGACAGAGTCGGAATCCTCAAGCTTTCATTCCAGCTAACACTTACGTAAAGACATATATAATATATATACGATAAAGAACTTTTTATGTTACCCATTCTCCAGATATAAAAGACTGACCAATCTTGTACAGTTTTTTTTTGTTGTTTTTTTTTTTGTTGTTGTTGTTGGTTTTTTTGGTATTGACTTTCGGAGTTTTTGTGAGATTTGACTTAATTTATATAAATATTGGTTTTTGTGTGTTTGTTTGTATCCTGTGTGTTTTTGTGTGTTCTTGTGTCCTGTCTAGGCAGGACCTTTGGCCAAGTTCTTAGTTGCTTTGGCCAAGTTCTTAGTTGCTGTGCATCTGTGTGTAGGCCTGCAGAACTGCGGAGGAAGGAGCTGAACATTCCACGATGTGTGGTTGATCGAGGAAAGCTGGAGGTGGGCCTCAGCTGTTGCTGCATCACCTCTCTGTTCCTGAGGAGCCCACCACCCCACCACTGTGCTTCCATTGTCTGGTTAGACTGTGTGATTTTTCTGTAAAAATGGCACTTAAAACCAAAGCCTGAAATGGTGGTTTTTCTTTTCAACAATGGATTGACTTCAGCAAATGTACAGCCCTGTATTACATTGTTAATAAAAGTCAGTGATAAATTTGGCATGTTGTCATGTATCAGTAACAGCACGTTTGGAAAAGCAGAATAATGTGCACGTGTATGGCGTGCCAGAGAGCCTCCTAGATTCGTCTGTGGGCTCCTGCATGACGCCTTTGGTGGTCAAGGCAACTTCAGATGTTCCTCACGCCTTGCTTGTTTGTTGTGTGGAGACAGGGTCTCTCACTGGCCTAGAACTACGAAAGTGGGTAAGGCTGGCTGGCCAGGAAGTCCCAATTCAGCCCTCTTCCCCTCCTCAGAGCCAGGATTAAAGATGGCCGGCTTTTTACTAGCATTTTGGGGAGGCCTGCATGAGCAAGCGCCCCACACTAAGCCCGCTCCCCAGCCCGTCTTAAGTGCTGTATAATATTTACTTAAGCTCTACCTTAGCGGTAATACTCTCCACTTCTACTAGTACCTAACATTTACAGAGGAGAGAGAGGCACAGAAAGCTAAGTGCCTGGGTTTCAGGCATGGGACAAACAGCAGCCAGGATTTCAAAGCCTGTATCAAGATGCAGAGGCCCTTTCTCTTGGAACTGATGGAAGTTTAGGCATTCCCGTGAAGGACTGTCTCTCAGAAAGATGTGTGTGTAAAGCAGGCTACACAATGGTGTCTGCATTTCACTGCGGCTTCCCATCTGTCCCAGCTGGAGGGGAGTGAGGCTACGCACTGTGTATCCTCCCCTTTTACAAAGGTGGGACACGAGGCTCAGAAACTCCTGACACAACCCAGACTCACCCCTGTTAATCCATCTTACCCACCATTGCCCCCCCCACGGAACACCTGGTCAGATGTCGGCTGAGTTGTTGCTGAACACATGGCCAAAGTGAATGTTTTCTTCCTAAAATTAGCCCAAAATACCCTGCTTGCAGTATCTTCTATGCAAATCTCAGCACCTCTATCCTCACTCTTGCAACACCTAGCCTCTCCCAAAGGGCCCCACTAAAGCTGCTGGGGAGTAGCGCTGGTGGTTTTTTAGGGTTTGAAGCTCTATTGAGGCAAGCTCTCCATTGCCTGATTTTGCACAAGAATTTGGAGCCTTATGTAATAACCCAGAGCTATTCACACTAACATTGTGCAAGCCGCAAACTCTTGAGCAAATTGCGGGTCCGGTCTCCATTTGAAGATGACTTCTCATCCATAGTGCCTATGCCGCTCTCACTTTGGGACACAAACAGGGCACGGCAGGCGTGTTCCCAGACAGTAAGTGAGATATAATTAAGACAATATTTGGTCTTTTAGTAATTGTTTCTGGCACAGAAAATCCGTTTGGGAAGGAAAAATTGCAAGGCCTTATCTTTCTTAGGCAAATCACATTTGTTTAAGACAAATTATAGATCCTGTGAAGGGAAATAACTTAATTACTTAAACTAGAATCTGATTTGGCTGTACATTTTTGCGGCAGCCTATGGATCTGGGGTAATTCATGCCAGTGTTCCTATTCCACTTGAGGACACAATTAGATTTTCAGTAGGAAATTATCTTGAGGTTTCTTGCCTTCCTCTGGGGAGTCTTAATTGGATCACGCTTAGACATAGTTTTCGATGTGCCTGCTGGAAGACTTGGTCTGAAAGCTGTGGCTGTCGTGGCAGGCTTCACCCGAACCTGCTCTATAAATATTTATTCGAAGGGAGACAATAGAAGAAATCCTTGGGAGGAATTCTTTTCTCATCTTGGCTTGAACCCTCCTCACCCCGGATTCCTCTCTTTTGCCTTGGAGCCTCAACAAAAGGAACTTAGTGGAAACAAAATTCCCAGCATCACCAGTCTCCATGGATATTCCATCCTTCCTGGGAACAAAGGCAGATAGCTTCTCAAAAAAGAAAAGAAAGCGGTTTAAAAAAAAAAAAAGTCTTTGCTCCCTCCCTCCTCCAAAGGGGTGACCCCGCCCCCAGTCATTCTCTGTCCTAGCTCTGTCATGATGAACTGCTCCAAAGCCTTCCCTGTGTCCTGGTTTGTCTGGCAATGTGAGGAAACCCAGTCTGCCGGCCAGCCCTCACATGAAGTAACTGATTGTTCCTTAGATTCCTCCCTCAGTGAATGGGGCTCTTGAAGGTCAGTAATGTAGCTGCAATTGTATAATGGAAGCTAAAATATTTAAATTGTATGCATGCTGCCAATAGTGTCATGACTGTGACATCTGACTTACGAATGACATCGGGTCTCTAGCTGGGCAGGAACCTGAGTGGTTTTTATCAGGAAAACTTTTGTTTCCTGAAATGCCACTAGGTGATGTACCTCCCCAGCCTGGGGGCTTCCCAGCCCTCTTTCAGGGTTAGAATCATTCCAGGGTACTATCTGAAGAGAAAATGGGCTTTGTTGTAAAAACTGACCAAGTGTCTGTGTTTTTTCTCTCATCTGATATTCAGATACTAATTAAGGGCCCCACAAACAATTGGACATTACTGTTCAATGTGATGCTCATTTAGGAGAACCAAAGACCCGGAGACAAAATTCAAATTGCCATAGAAAACCCAGCATCCCTGCAATGCTTAGAAATGTGCTCTTATACCCTAGTATCATAAGGATGCATGCAACTATCATGGAGGAGCTCTTTCGTTAGTCCGTGCTAAAGAGATCTCAAGGAAGCCAGAACAACATTACTAAGAGCACAGCCTAAGAAAGGTAGTAGGGTTCTGGGGCCAAAAGAGAAGGAAAGGGATTCTTCAAAGGCAGTGGTCTCTGTGGCTGCCTTATCTCCCTCCAGGTAATGTTCCAGTAGGTTGTGGAAACATTCTGGGTGATCCTACTGAGGGCAGCAGGAGACCACAGGTGCTGCTTCCATACATATGCCTTGGCTCTTCTCTGTGTGTGTCTCTCTCACACACGCTAAAATAAATAAATAGATAAAATTATTTATATAAAAGCAAATTATACTGGTTGTATAAGTCCTTATTTTCACAAGCACTATAACCTTAAGAAGGGATCCTTTTTGTGTGTAAGTATGTGTGTATGTGTGTTTGTGTGTGAGTGTTCATGTGTGACTGTGCACGTGTCCATGTGCGTGCATGTGTAGGACAGAAGACAACCATGGCTATCAGTCTTCAGACGCCATCTACATTTTTTGTTATTTATTTTGAGACAGGATCTCTCCTAGGCCTGAACACACCAAGTAGGGCAGAATGGCTGCCCATCTGGCCTCGTGGATGGGCCTGTCTCCTCCTCCCCTGTAAGCAATTTACTTATTTCTGGAGTTATCTCCCTTAAAAAGGGTTTCTGCAGTTGGACTGTCACTGATATTCTGGGTCAGCCAGTTCTCTGAGGTGGCTGGTTTTGTGAGCAGTAAGGACAGGAAGCAGCACCTGTGGTCTCCTGCTGCCTTCAATAGGATCACCCAGAATGTTTAAAGGATTTGATTCTCTCCTACCACCATGTGAGTTCCCGGGATCAAACTCGGGTTGTCTGCTTGGCTGCAAGTGATTTTATCCATTCAGCATCTTGCCAGCCCCAAACCAAAATAATTCCATGAACTAACAAGAACCCATGAAGACCTTGATAGCTCTGTTTGAATGCTTTGCCCTACCAAAATTCAGGAGTTGAAATCTCACCACCTTAAGGGGCTGGTCTTGAAGTAAGATGTCTGGGAAGAGCTGGGTATAAAGGACAGGGTTCCTCATTAGGATCAGTACCCTGGAAACCTAGCCAGCCCCTTAGACCACCTGCTGACTCAGCTCAAAACCATTATCTGTGAACCTCAAAGCAAGCCCTCACCAGATCCTGAATCTGTTAGTGTCTTCATCTCCTCTTTCCTAGCATCCAGAGAAATAAATGTCCGTTGTTTCTAAGGAGCCCAACCTAGTGTGCGTTGTTACAGCAACTCAGCAGATGGAGAGCTTCCAATGGGACGCCAGCATCTTCTGCTAGCCTTGTCTGCTAGAAAGCGCACTGCGACCCTTCCCAGCCTCTCAACGCACACAGTCCCCTCACACACAAGCTCATCTTTCCAGTCTGTCTTCCTCTCTCCTCAGATACTCTTCATATCCAGGGCAAGGGACTCCGCCGCCACTTCTCAGCTCTTGGTGGACGAATGCAGTCCATGAAAGGATGACGTATGCAGGACAATAAGTGGTGAAGGTGACCTCTGATTCCTTTCTAGTATGGACTTCTCCCTTTACAACTCTGTTTTTCTTCTTTTATTAAGACAAACAGGGAACCAGCCCATTCTTCCACCGGCTGCCATTGATTCAGATTCACTTAAACCGATTCTGTTAAGTCTGGCAATTAAAATCCTGTAAACTTCCTGGTGGTGGGAGTGGGGAACCAGGAGGGGGGAAGCACTTTAACTGAAAATGCCTGCTAGCTGCAGACCAAGTTGAGGGATCAACTCTGTGAAGAAGCCACATAAGGGGAAAGAAGTTTTCAAAACCAAACAAAGGTGCTGAAGCAAACTCTGCCAGGTGTGCAGTGTTTACCTGGCAGAGCCGGCACGATTATTTCGATTTGCATACTGCAGTTCAGCTAACCAGAACCCAACTCATCAACACTCTTCATTAAGGAAAATAACTTCCTCATATGGGACCTGTCGGAGAGAAAGTCATCCGTGCCAAGAGCCACTGAATCCCAGGCGTGCGCTTACTCAGCATACAAGAGCCAGTTAGATATCATTATCTCTGTTTTCAGGAGAGGACGGAGCAAAAGAAGTTAAACTACAAGTGAAAGGCCTTGTCTTCCCACTCTGTCCAGTAAAGATGGCCCTGAAATTGAATGTCTGTGTTCTGTGGCAGAGTCTCAAGTTCTCACAATATTCAGTGTGTGTGTGTGTGTGTGTGTGTGTGTGTGTGTGTGTGTGTGTGTTCGTCCTTTCTGTCTGTCTGTGTCTGTGTCTGTCTCTGTTTCTCTCTCTCTTTTTTTTTCTCTCTCTCACATATACTTATGTTTTGGAAGAGCAGCCAGTGCTCTTGAGCCATCTCTCCAGCTTCTAGTTTTGCATTTTGAAGCAAAAAGACAAATACTTAGATTTTGAATTTTTTTAACTTTAGACTTTCACTATTACTTCTTGTA